AATGATTGTTTTCTTCAATTGTGTACTTTTAATTTAAGAAAGTCGAAAGAAATACTCCGATTTTAATTATGAAATGGATATCGTACACGATAAATTATGCGTCTAGAATATTTGCATTACTATTTCATGGATAGGTTTTCTGCTGCAGGACAAGTTGATTAATGGCATTTGTGATGTTGGGGTAAGAGGGAAATCTAGTATCATTTCTTATAAGTACCCCAAGGTGATTATCCAGATATCACAGTTATCAAACAGCCGAAAAGATCAATCGGGACGCCATTAATCCTAAATTAGTTTTCGACAGATTTAGCAAGTCTATGTGAATTAAAAAACGCACAGTAAAACCAATAGGAAAACTAATTAAAAAAATAGTATAATCATTTCTTTGTGTGTTCTCATTTTCAATCTTATTGTTAGAATCAGCATTAAAAGCTGTGTGAATTGTGGCTAATTGTTTCTCATTAAAAAATATTGAAATGGTATAGCAACTTCGACGTAGGGAAGACATCAGAATTTTCTTTACGTCAAAGACAGTTCTTTCCCAATACTGAATGATATATGTTGTTGTTTATGTTAGAATACGGTCTTGTTCACAATGATGTGCCTTTATGGAGTTTTTTAAGCGCTCGCTGTATGCGGAAAAACAGTGTTAAACGTACTTTGGACAACGAGGCCAAGGTCATACACTGATAGGCCAGTTGCTCTAACAATAACCTGAGTATCACGTCTTGATAAATCTTATTGTTTAGCAATTGTGTCTTTTTATATCGATATTCTTGCGCGTATTCAAGTGCTATTTCCACGGCTGAATTGACATCAGTCTTAATCCAAAACGAATTCGCCAAAATGACTCGACAACTTATTGCGCACTTACAAGAGTCAACATGATTTGACCTACTCGTCTTCGATTGGAAGAACTCCCAGTGCAGGTAAAAGATTATTCTTTAAGATGAAGAGACAATAGGATTTTGACGGTGTTTAAAAAATCATATCGGAATGAAAAAGACAGCTTAGTTCGTATAGTCAGAAGTCGGCCATTTTTTTATTGCGCAGAGCGACTGAAAAGCGCGCGCTTCAGTGAAATTTCCTATTTGAATTTGGCGATTGAATTTTATGCAGAAAAAACAGTTCGAGGTCAGTCAATATTTTAATTTTGTCATGTGTTAGTTTCAATATCATTTGCTATTTTGATCTGAAATTAGATGCTTTTCTTAGTTCTAATGTTACTATTCATACCAGACCCAACGATGAGATCTTCTTTTATTGCCCGTATTTTTTTTGTATGTGTGTCATTTCCGTAAATACAGGAGAAATTGCTGAGCTAACGGCTCCCTTATGACGGAAAACACTCGTCTTTCTTGCTTCTTTATGTTTCTTAAGTGAGTTCATTTTAGTACTTTTCCGGTGGCCTAGAGCATGGAAAACACTTTTATAGAAATATAATCGCTTTTTGGTTTCCTTCTTGTCTCCAAAATCCACAATAACAACGCAGGATTTATAGAGATGTCTATCTCTACAATGATGATAATCTATATTCACATGTCTGAATTATCTTTTACGATTATTTTCCACACTTGCGAAAGGTGTAATTATGGTTCGAGCCCTCCATTTTGTAGGAAGGAAATGCCGGTTTATTTTCATCATTTTAAACAATGAAAGTCAAAATAGCCTTAAGCTTACACCGTCCTTGAGCCCACCTCTCATTTAAACTCTTTACTTTCAGTCGGGCATAGCTTGTATGACTCGAGTTAGTTTAACGTTAAATGGAGCATTTTTATTGTTTTTAGCACAGATTTTAGCGAGCTTTTAGATAAAAAAAGCAAACAWTGACAGAATGAGAAGAATAGAAATGGGATAAAGTATAACAAGATAAAAAGCCACGATTAAAACCCGATAACGCCAGAATATGCAGGATATGAGMGGAAAACCATGGATACCAAGTTGTTTGATGTTGCTCTTATCACAWTGTCAGTTTTCGATACGAATTTTTCACCAWCAAATCCATGTTTGTTATTCTTGTTTCCTTGGAAACGAGGAGAAACATAAGGAAACCATCTGAAAATGTGTTTTGAGTCATTAGCAAGTAAGAAATGGYTAGTTCACATCTGATGTGTGTGAATAGTCTTTTGGGACCGAAGTTAAAATGCTAAGTTTTGTGTCAGTAAACTTATGATACGCTTAAAAACATCTTTGTTCACATTGAAATATATCCCAAAAAAAACCTTGAAAATGACGACCCACAACTAGTGAAAAAAAGAAAAGCTTTTAGATAGATAAATCTCTAATTCATATACGGAATAAAACTTTTAGCACGTAGACGAATAGTGCTGTAATCCTTTTTAAGGCATTAAAACCAGATCAGCTTGAAGTAAAAGGTGAAGTTAAGCTGTTGTTGAAAAGAGCATCAATTTTAACCAAGGAAATTCATTAATTAATGTCAACATCAATTTGACACTTAATGATTGGTCCAAGACTCCTTAATCCAAACCAATTCACTTGCAAACGACGAAAATCGTTCAGTCTAAAGAGAAAACACGCAAAAAAAAAACATGAAAAAGAACACGAATTTTGCTATATATCTAATTTAAATTGAAAAGTAAAAGTCTATAATTTTACTAGTGATGTTTTGTGCTCGTGGTGTGCTAGAGCACGCTATCCCATGATTCCTTGAGGTCGCTCTATTGTTATGATACATATATCGGTTCATGTTTTTGTAGCACTCTTGACAGTCTCAGTTTTGGCTCGTCATAAAGGTAAGGTGTTTCAACACACGAATCAATGACATATCGTTACCGAATCTTATTTTAGAAATTCTACATCATTTATGACGAGAAAGCCACTTGACATCTAGCGTCTATAAAATCATAGAATAGAAACTAGATTTTTTTTTTTACTTTTTGAGTGAAATACCACATATTTGAATATACTTTGATAAGGGGAATATTTAAACTTCAGTTTGGTAAGCTAGATGACATGAAATGGTTAAAAATAACAATGACACATTGGGGAACCTTTTCCATGAAATGTTGGATGTTGAAGAGAAAAAAGTTTTCGTGTTTAAACAGTAGATTAAACCTTGACAAATTCAAGCTTCTAGCTATGACCATATGCTCCATAGGATTTACATACGATGAAAAAAATCGTGGCTTTTCTGCCATTGTTCACATAGATGGCCTAAGACGCGCAGTCAAACAGAGTGACCACGCAGTCAATTTAAACTCTCTCGGCAATGCTACAGTACTCCTGTCATTTTATTCAATGCTTAGAGAAAGATATCACAGGAGAAACTGATAAACCACATTCTGCATCTATAGAATTGTTGCTGTATGTTTACTATAGATATGAATAAGACTAAATTGGAGCCCTAGTAAGTCGGTTCACAAACGCGTCGTAGGTATAGCGACGATCTAAATTGCTAAGGAACAGAAGGAACAGCCTTGAAACTGCGGGGCGCCGTCTCCTCTATTCATATGAATAACTCTGCTAGGCTGCCTGAATCGTAGAATACTTTTGTTTTGCAAATACATCCTAGTTTACCGTTTTTTTTGTTTAATAACAAGCCTCGAAAACTAATTTAGCTAAGTAATGTATTTCTAGAAAGATGTTGTATATAATTTGTTTCATGTAAACCGGGCAATTCTCGTTTTCCAATTCCTTTTCTCTGTTTAAAATTGTTCATGTTYTTTTCTTTCTCTTCTTTTAACGATAATCTTTCCTTCGCTTTCATGTACCTGTTTTGGAGTTTATAGTACTTAGTTTAGCTGACGTAATGGCGCCCGTCAAAACTATTACCTTTATTGATTTTTCAGCGCGTAATTTACTCTAGTTTCAATATTTCATTGGCCCTTTTTTCCATACCTATGACCTGTCAAGTTTAATGCACATTAGTTTATCAATTTTGAAACTTTCTCTTTTTAATATTTGTTTGTTTAAACTTTTTTAAATGTTTACGATAAGAATTTTGAAGGTTGATTTTAATTAGCATGGAAGTTGCTTAGTTATGTCAAGACCTCTCTTTTGTTTTTAGAAAATTCTATCGATAATTAAAAAGAACTCTTATTCAGTTGACTAAAGTCCAATGTTATTATTATTATTATTATTTGGGGAAGATATATCACTAACATGATTATTACGTTTGCTGCAAACGCGTTGTATTCGGTACTTTTCCCGTTTTTAAGGCGTTATTTCGCGCTCTTAGCGTGAAACATCAGAATKATATTTGTTTCGTAACTTCCCTGCGGAGACTTTTAAAACCAAACACGCGCCACCGCAATTATTTATTTAAATTAGAAGTTCTTTGAGTGTAGAAACACAGAAAGCAACAGTACGTCGCCGCAGCTCAARTAATCTGACAACTTCAAGGGCTTGATTGAAAATGTTTTTTGGATACTGAAAGATAAGGGGAGCTTCTTTTTTAAATCTGGGAATGATAAAAAGGGGACTTCTCTATTACAAAATCTGAAGTACAAGCGATCAGGTATACCCTCATGACTAAATCAAGGTAGCTCAATTTAATCTTCTCTTTTCTGTAAAGTTCATCATAACATACTTCAATACTTATCCGATCCTGAAAATGCTTAAATTAAATACAAGAATAATATCGAAAATCTCGGCTCCAATCAGTTTTATTATTCATGTTATCTTTCTGATGGTGAAGCTAAAAAATGAAACTAGATTATACAATTCCTTTGAGTCCTTCGTGAAATATTCTTTCATCGCTGCCCCTACATCTCAGAAATATTTATAATTCGACTGATTTGTATTATAAATATAGGAGTTTATTCACATTTTTTTTGATAGCTAGTAGGACGCCATTTTTTCAGTAAGCGGTATGCTTCTCATAATTTCTAAAACTAGTCCAACTAAATATTGTGCAATCATCGCGCGCATTTCTTAAAGCATTTTTCAGATGTTTTGAAGCAGTAAGGCTTACGTAATGTTTGATTGCGTCCTCGGAACTTTTTTATCATGGGGTTATAATTTGAAAAGCTCAAATAGGGTATTTATTCGGTGTGTTTTTTTATTCTAACTACAAGTGTTCAGAAGTATTGCATTATCAATCAGCCGTCCGCGTCCATTCATTGACGATCACTATTTAGAAAGATACTGGTTTACGTTTTCTTTGTATTAAATCAACATCTGGTGGCTTGGAAATACCGATAAGAATGCATCGACGAGTTGACTCTGTTTTCAGTACCGCCTGAGGAATTAACTTTATTCGTTCAATTCAAAGGCTTGGAATCTTCAAAAAGTAGAAGTTGTTTTGCCTTCACGGCTAAGAGTCTTATTTAACTGAATCGTCCATGTAATAAAGCTGTCAAAATATGCAGCTTGTTGTCGCTTCTATCAACAATTAAAAATCGATTTTGTTAAATTCAAAGTTAATAAGACAAGACTTCACTAGAACAAAATTTGGAGATCTTCAAATTTACATTAAGAACGGTTATATTTCATGACTTTTGAAAATTTGATAACGCAGGCCAAAAAAGGGTTTTAAATATTGAAATAGTCTTCCAGGCTGAAACTATGAACAAGCAGGTCATGATGATAAAAAATAAAAATAAAATTTCTAGAGTCCTGTCAACTTAAGGAGACTTGTACAATTTGTTGGTCATTATTATAACCTATTGTTTCTTCTCGAAAACAAATAAACAAACAAACAAAATCGACTCGATTACACGCGCTTCCTTCTAGAAAGGTCCTCGCAAAAATTTCCACACTTAATATACATTTCTCCAGATTTCTACTTAAGATTTGTGTTTTGTTTTGTCACCATAGCAACTGTAAAATAAATAATCCGTGAGCGGTAGGTGCACCTGTTACGGTATTGTATTACACGAGCATAATGTGGATATTTATATTGCTTTATTCCACACCATGCCATCTCTTTAGCAATGCTGATATCCCTCAAAGTAAGATTAAATCAGGGTAGTAGCGAACAAAGAAGGCACTTATTATCCTTGTGAACAAGGTCGAGAGGAAGAAGGTCGGCACATATTCAATAATTACTGGGAAAAGTGTATATTGTGAATGGGGTTTACAGGAACAAACTTGTAATATGACGAGTATGTTTCATTGTGAGGCTCAATCATCACTATGGCACGAAACTTAAAGTTTTACTTGATAAAGTTAATTCTTGACATCACAGGTTGTTTTTGTCAAATTATATCAGCCCCTCAAACTAATTTGATGTTCTTAGACAAATAGTCACTTTTGATCAGCTTAAACTACTGCATGACGCTTTTCCATATTTTATCTTTGCAGAGTTTAAGACTTGTTACATGTAGCAAAACGACTCATTGATTTGATCATGGATGGAAGKCATGACTTTGGAAGGAAGTTTCCGCCAAGAAGTAAGTTCAATGACGAGGAAGCTACCGCAGTTTTGAGGCTGATAATTGAACAAGAAAAGCTGCTTAAAAACGCCAATGTCAGTCCACTATTAAACGTCTCATCCAATAGACTACAACGACTACCGCCTTTGAACGMAAAGCGCTCTGAATCTTTGGATGAAAATGAACTTGAAAACGTGCGGACTCGAAAGTCGTCGGGACAAGACGAACCTGGTTCAGAACTGTTTTTTAACAAACCTACATTATTAACGAAAAAGGATTTACACGTTAGTGATAATACTGGAACTTTACCCGGAAAACCTGCACGGATTCCTGACATATACAGTAGCCCTAAGATTGCTAGGCATCGTGATCGTAGCGATAGGCCTAAAGGTTCGTATGGTAGAACTAGACACAGGTCGCCCGAACCTGACACGAACGCTTTTGATGAAGAACCTAATGCTCATGAGAACGGCTACACGTCCATAGATTCTGGATATCTTGACGAAGGAGAAAACAAGATCTCCTCGAAATCATTTTCCCCTTCTTATATCAACTAGAAAAAGTATATTTTATACATAAAGACGTTTTAGACTGTATCAAGGTAGAGACAAATGTTTTTAAGCGAGATCTTCGCTCCAGCACAATAGACATTTCACTTTCAATAGATTGGATTATCCATTGAAGTATTAATTACTGCAAGAAAAGGACATTTTAGAGATGCTTTTATTGTGTATAATGAAACGGGAAATACTATAAAAAAGGCTCAATTGTTGCCAGACGATAAATATTAAAAAAATCAATTTTACAAGTATTAGTACAGGAAACTAGCGTTTGGTTGGGAGCTGAATCAACATACGACCATGTGCGTTCGAGAGCTTTCTTTTGTCTTTTTATATTACAGCCTGACAGCTTATACACTACCTGACAGTCATCTATTAATTTATTTATCAGTCGAAAAAAATAAATTGGGTATAAATTATATATCACTCCCAATGTAAATGATAAAAGAACAGAAACAGCTATACCATGAATACTATTTAGCATACTTCTATTAGTGATTGTAAAATATACCGCTTCCCCGCGGTTTTTCAACAGAAATAAAGACTCGATGTCTGCAAAAATAATCTGTATTTATGATAATATTTACGATAATTCTTTTCTGTTTTTTGGATCTTTTTATACTCAGTCAGTAAACGGCGCATCGAGACTTAATAAGATGCGTTATGCCACACGGATCTTCAGAACAAAAAGGACATCAGTCGCCATAATACAACGATATGGTGTTTTTCTTATTTAATCATCTTCCTCATTTTACTGTATTTTTCATTTAATTTTAATTTTTACGTTCAATTTTTCTCATCAAATATTTACCCTTTGACAATGAATGTCTTAATCAATGGCTTAATTGTGGGCTTTGCATCAACGAGTTTTAGTATACATGTATGAGAAATCTAAACTCAAAGCTTGTGCTGTTTCACCGACTATATTTCGTTGCTAAAGACGTTCGCCATAACGAAATATAATGTTAAGTATTCTACTGAATTGTTCTTAATTCCCAGTTGGAGTCCTCAGTTACAGACTGAGTCGATGTTATGATGAAAAAATGTTTATAAGACTCCCATTTTAAACTATCCCACCTCCTAAGATATTTTCTATTTCCCATATACAAAGATGGTGTAGGCAACTTAGGCAGTGTCTTTTATATCTTCATCACTTTAGTTTAAATCTCATGGGAAGCAGAAAGAAAACAAAAGCCTGTTGCGAAACATTTTGTAAAAAAAATGCACAAAATTGCACTACTTAAACCATAGAATTTTGCACTTATTAACAATGAAGAATTATCCATTTTAAGGATATGTTGTATGAACGATCTAGACTGCCTTTGAATATTGTGAAACATTTTGTAATGAAAAAAATGCACAAAATTGCACTACTTAAACCATAGAATTTTGCACTTATTAACAAGAATTATCCATTTTAAGGATATGTTGTATAAACGATCTAGACTGCCTTTGAATATTGTGAAACATTTTGTAAAAAATTGCATAAAATTGCATTATCGATGTTTTACGATTAGCTTCGCTATTCTTTCGCAGACAAACCTGTGAAATCTTACTTATCTTGGTTAATAGTATTACATAAGGCTCTCTGAAAATCTTTTATTATGAGGATTATTAGTATTTGTACAGACTGACTTTTATAAAATAGCATGACGAACGGTAKTTTTGGCAAACAAATTTTCTGTTATTTTAACGCTCTACATGCGACCACTCGCGCGCGTACCCCGTGGTTTTGGCGGGAAATTCTCGGCCGTCAGCCAGAATCGTTGCTGGAAGTCAACACTATAACACATGCCAAAATTCAAACCTCACTACAATAATGAATAATAATTAGCCGCCTAAATATTTTCACAACATTTTAAAAACGGAAATACATGCATAACATATGAAAAATATGCCCAGGACACTGATAGAATTCATTGCGCATGAATTAGAAATTCTKAAACACTAAGTACATCGTTGTTTTATTCAAGCTGTCACTACTTTTCAAGTACAGCTGAAGAAACGAGCTCTGTGCCAGTGGGCCTTTGAAGGTGTTTGGCCTAAGGCATTTTGAMAGTCTAAGAAAGCACTTCGTCGCTACAAAARCGAYACATTTGCCATGTAGTTCTTATTTTTTTAAGTTTACAATGAAATAACATGTTTTTTNTTGCCAGTTATCTAAATAAAAAATTACCAACCTATTATTCATGGAAATCAGACCCAGAAGCAAGTCATGTGGATGCTTTTACTATAAGCTGGCATGGTCCACTAATATATTGTTTTCCCCCATTTAGCTTACTGGGGAAATGTTTACAAAAAATCATGTTGGATCAAGCAGAAGCTATTGTTGTAATGCCAAATTGGCCGACTCAGACGTACTACAGCAAGGCCATGGAAATGCTGATAGACCAACCTCTTTTGTTGCCCAAACGAGGCAATCTTCTGTGCCTGCCAACGAAGCCAGACAAACAACATCCACTACTGCCAAAACTTCAACTGATGGCATGCAGATTGTCAGGAAATCGCTTGAAAAGTATGAAATATTTGGAAAGTCTGCCGATATCATACTGGCATCCTGGCGCAAAGGAACACACAAACAATATGCGTCATTCATCAATAGATGGATCAACTACTGTGGCATGCAACAGATTGATTGTCTTCGACCATCTATAGGGAAGGTGATAGATTTCCTGACAAGCTTGTTTGAGAAAGACAAATTAAGTTACAGTTCATTAAATACAGACAGAAGTGCTTTGTCAGTAATACTAGTTATAGACAATATGCCAATTGGACGTCATCCATTGGTGTCAAGGTTTATGAGAGGGGTTTTCAATCTAAAACCCCCAGTGACAAGGTACAAGGACACCTGGGATGTCAGTGTCGTCCTTCGACACTTAGCTAGTTTGTTCCCTTTGTCTTYGTTAACGTTGAAAGATTTATCATTAAAACTAGTTATGTTAATCGCCATTACTACAGCGCAGAGATTTCAAACTATTCAACTGCTAAAACTCAGTCTCATGGAAAAGCATGCAACAAGCATAGTATTCAATTTTGATGAACCTCTAAAACAGTCTACTGCTAGAAAAGGTGTCAAACCACTGGAGCTTCGAGCTTATGAGAAAGATGAACGCTTATGTGTTGTTAAGGTTTTGATTGAGTATCTACAAAGAACTGAACAGTTGCRTGGAAAAGAAAACCAACTTCTGATAAGCCACCAAAGGCCATATAAAAGAGTGTCCAGGGACACCATTGGTCGTTGGATCAAAACAACAATGGAAAATRCAGGCATTGATTTAGAGAAGTTTAAAGCACATAGTACCAGRTCTGCGTCAACAAGTGCAGCGCAAAAGGCATTAGTTCCGATACAGGAAATCCTTGACAAAGCTGGTTGGGCATCAGAAAAAACATTTGCAACATATTATAATCGACCTTTACAAAATGAACCAGACCATTTCCAGGAAGCAGTTTTGAATGCTGTAGTTGCTAATTAAATTATTGGTTAAAGTTGTTTCAGATAATAAAGTTACTTAKTTACTTTGTTATTTGTAGTTGGTGTGCCAACTTCATTGGCTTTGAAATCTCATGTGATCTCCAGTCACGTGATAGTGAGGTAGAATTTAAAAATTAAACGACACTTACCTGTAAGTGGAAGTTTGATTGTAATTCTACCGATATAACACGTGACTGAGAGATTACATGCCCTCCCTCCACTCCCAGACATTTTCAATAGATCAATAAAAGATAAAAATTACATTCAGATAGGGGGTGTACAATTTGTTGTCACACCAACCCTTCCTTTAAATAGTGACCGGCAGTTGTGTGACGTAATATCTCATGTAATCTCTCAGTCACGTGTTATATCGGTAGAATTACAATCAAACTTCCACTTACAGGTAAGTGTCGTTTAATTTTTAAATTAGTGGTAATTAAACAATAG